ACAGTTACACTGTTCTGATCTTACACATCAGATATGTGCATTGGATTATCATCCTATACCCATTATCTTATATAATTACAATGCGTTGATAGTATATAATATTAAAAATCAGTGAAAATGTTCAAGTTATTAGTTTTTCAGAATGTCAAATTTCATAGCTCTCTCTCTTAAGCTGAGGCCTCGAAGCTTAAAATAAGAAAAGTAGACAAGAGAGTATGAATAAGGACAAGGGAGAGAGAATTATTCAAGTGGAGAGAAGTCTTGGTATTTAATTTATTGACTTATGGTCTCTAGATCAGATGTTAAAAGAATAACATATTATATTATTTTAGTTGCTTTAAGAGACATTCTTTTAGTGTTGTTCTTTGGGCATTTGTAAGTGTGGTATTCTTGATATAGGAGGATAATGTCTATTTGTTACAATCCCTGGTTTATCATTTTGTAATCCTTAAAAGCACTCTATCCTTTCAAATGATCCTATTTTTTTGGTTCCTATAGGACCTCCTGATGGATCCCTTTCAGCAGTCCATGGGTAAACATTCATGCATCTCTGCTCCTAGTGAATATTATGAGTATAGAAACAAAATTAATGTTGGTTGATGTCACTGATTAACCCCATCAGTTCTTCTGCAAATCAGCCAATGACACTTCTTGCCCAGATCCCCTGGGACTATCATTGTGGAAGGTTCAGCACAAGACATTAAGAACAATATTGTGATAGCTTCTTCTGTATACACACACACACACACACAAACACATAATTTAAAGTGAAGGGCAAGCACATTTTACAAAAATTTCTCCAAAGCTATTGTCACAAACCATTCTTTCACTTTCCACACTGACCAAGAATTTGCCTAGTTTTCTTTGGCCTTGGCATGGAAATCACCAGAGTGATTTAGAGACATTTAGTAATTTCACATCTATTGTATCAAATGTTCAAATTTAGCACATTATAACACAAATTCTATTCATAATTAATTTATTTGTATTACTCATGAAGTTTGAAATAATTTGTTTTATTTATGAAGGTTTTGAATGAATATTTGAGATTTCAACCCAAAAAAATAATCTGAGTCCTGAGAAGAATCATCACTAATGTGTCAATAGACAATAGGGATGATTGGTGTGGAAATCTCTTCAAATAGCTAGCTGGTAAATAGACTCTATAGAGTCAGGGAGATGACAAACATTCAGACTTTTGGGGATACTGAAGGAGATCTCACTCTGTCCACAATCTCTACCCTAAGAATTAGAAGTAGAAGGCAACCATGGAAGCCAGAATGTAATTATGTGAATAAGTAGAGTACAGCTAAAGCAAATGGAAGTACAAAAGTCCTATTGAGGAATAGGCTCAGAACTTCCTTTCTGTTCATGTCTCCTACATTTTCTCAGCCAAAGCAAGTTGAAGGAACTGCCCAGAGTCTGAACAGGAACAGAATGCAAAGTTATAGGGGAAAGTGGAGTAAACAAAAGGAGGCTAATGCTTGTTGACACAATATAGTAAATATGTCCTAAATGCATATTATGTAAATATAGTCCTAGAAAGGACAAGCAGTCCCAAAAGTCTATACCTGACTAAACTTGAGTGTGGCTGGTCCTTATGCATGGGAAGAATTTGCTTTCATAACAAATGACTGCACACATTTTGGCTGACTCTTTTGCATGATCTACCTGACTTCTGTAGGTGCATGAAATTAAGAACTCTAGATTAAGACTGTTGGTATAGAAAATAACAATTGATTGATAAAAAATGGTCTTGAGCTCATTGCTATGGGTTCATGACTATAACCCTAATCCTGTCTACTTGCTAGGCTGAGAGGTAGATCAAGAGGATATGTTTCCAAAAAGTTTGCGAGACTCCCATCTCAACAAAATAAAAGGTAGGCATGATTGTGTGTGCCTGTCTTCCCAGATACTGTGGAAACATAAAACAGAATCTCAGTCCAGGCTGCCCTGAGAAAAAAAGTGAACACCTATCTCTAACATAACCAGAAGAAAGAGAGCTAGAAATGTGGTTTCAGTGGTAAACTGCCTGCCTAGCCAACACAAAGGTTAGAGTTAAAACTCAGAGCTGCCAAAAATTTAAATAAATAAAAAATAAAAATAACAAAGTTGATCTTTCCTTGCCCCTGATATAATAGATATCTTTTATGAATGATTGTGACATTTTCTTTAGATTTCTGGAATATATCTTTTTATTGAGTTAATTTTGAGATTATTTTAACTTGTTGTATTTTAATAATGGCATTTATGACAATATTTTCTGCCAAATTAGTTTTTGACATCTTAAATGTGATATTTTTATCTAATTTAATTTTAGTAGTTGAAAATCTAGTAACAGAAATTAGTAAATAGATGTTCTATCACAAACAAAAGTACATAAAAATTGGTAAACCTCACCTTTCAAAACGTATTTCATGAAAAAATGAGGTATCTCATTAAATGAGAAATAATTGTCATCATGTATAGAAAAGAAGTAAGCAAACTTACTTTTTATCCTAACTTAGAGGATAACAAAGTCAGAAAAACATTCAACTTTATAATAAGAATTGTAAAACAAAGCTAAAATTACAGTATTTTTTGGATTGACATGCACCATGTTAATAACATATATTACACAAAAATAATTTTAAGGATTTCATTTTAAGCTTTCTCCCAATATTTATTGCATTATAAGAATAAAAACATCATCCCAAAGTTTTCACAATGATCCCAATAGTCACACTATTATGTATTTTTCTTCTTTACTGATGAATGCAGAAATATAGAAATAGTTAGTATGGGTGCTGTGCAATGGTACAGTTTAACAAGGCATTGCTATATGTGTTCTATAATTGACAAATAGGGAAAAATGGAAAATAGTTATAAAATTTTGGGGGGAATGTAAATGGAATTTATTAAAAGTTAGGAAAAGAAAATACAAAGGGGCATGTGGTGGTAGAAGCCAGAAGTTGAGAGAGTGTGTTTATGTTCTTTAGATGCTTTTAAAACTTATGATAACCTATGGGAAGGGAAGAACAAGGAGATTCCCATTCGATAATTAATGATTGGGGGAGGGCCTGGGCAATTCCCAGCCAGGTGAGGATAGTTCCTGAGCCAAAACATGGTTAATTTAAGATGTAATGTATTTTTCTCTGAGTCCCTAATTTAGCCTGCCTTAAACTCTGCCTGAGAGGCAATATTTCAAAAAATTCTTTTTTGGGGTTGCTGAAGGGGAGTGGTCCATCTTCAGTATCTGCTTCAAGTTGACAAGGGACAACAGACTCTACCTACAAGGGGAGATTGTCTCTTCTATATCTCTGCCTTGGGACTCATTTGAACACAACGTGCCTAAATTATTATTTATTACAATTAAGGTCTGTCATGGAGATCTGTATTGTTCATGGAGATCTTGTTCATTTGTAGAGATAGGTGGCCTTGTTGCTTTGTGATTTGGGTTCTTGAAGTTTTCATTCTTTTTAACTCCTTGGCTGGCTTTGCCTAAAATGTTAATAGTGCTGGTGCAGTCTGGGATCAGAAGACTTCCAAATTCTTTCTATCCATCAGGGAAGAATCCATCACAGAACACATGGGTGTAAATGGACTTTATTAAAAGTTGGGAAAGGGAAATACAAAGGGAAGCATGTCAGGGCCCAGGTGGAAGCTGCAGACCAATAGCTTACAAAATTTCTGAACACCACTTTGCCCAAATCCACGATAGAACACAAGTTAGAGTGAATCTTTGCTATGAAAGAAGTTGACTTTGCATTATTTTGAAGCAATAATAATGTCATTCATTTCTCCTGGTGCTTCAGGAAGGTTGTGAGAACTTAATCATACTGGAAATATACTGTCTAATTCCTGATCCCTCTTCTTTCTGTTTTCTGTGTGTATCTTTATATTCCATTTATTCATTTTGTATAGTGTCTTGGAAATGCCATGGTAGTTCCTATATTGGAGTTTACTTGAGAATATTTATGCCATGAATCATATGGTTGTTTCCTTCTGAACATTTTTTGTCAATTAGTTGTGTTCATCACTATTAAAATTATTCATAAATATATAAAAATCAGTTGAAATATTATCTGCTAGATTGCTTCTCCAGCTATTCAATATGAAATGTCCTATAGAAAATAATTATATCTGTGTGTGATAACATGTCTGTCATCCATGCACTGAGAAGAATCTGCCTGTCTCAGAGTATTGTGGGTTCTAGGCCAGCTTGGGCAACACAGTAAAAGACTTTCTCAAGCAAATTAAGCAAAAATTGAATTGTAGTTGTCCATTTTCATGATCTTTTTCTAATGATGTTTCTGATTGTATTATTTATTTTCTAGTTACTTATCACTTTTATTCCTTTTTCCATAAATTTATGAATTTGATTATTCATTTAAAAGTCATTATAAAAAATTAGTAGGTGCCCAAAATAAACAAAATAAAGGTCCTTCCCTCACAGACATTAGTCTAGAGAAAAAGGTGGAAAGTAATGAATGTTATTTGATAATTACACAAGCATGTGTACAATAGTTTTATCATAGTTACTAAGAAAATGAAGGTCTTGAGATGTAGACTAATGGCAGGAATGGAAAACTCTTTGCATATAGTCATAATAGAAATCTTCACTCAGAAAACAAGGGTTAAGCCCTTACCCTATATTCAGAAGTAAGAGAGAAACAACTACCTGAGAGAGATGAGGGCACATTTTTTGATGGAAAAAAGCAAAGGTCTAAGCAGGAAAAAAAATCCTAATATGGCTGATGCATAGTGAGGAAGGTGGTGAGGGGCTTAAGATGTGCTTGGAGAAGCAAGGTAGATCAGAAAAGTCTAGTGCAAGGCAAGGTTACACATAGTGGTATAAAGCAAGAATGTATCAGAAACCCTATACTGAAAAGAATCTAAATCACAACACAGATTTTTTTCAAACTTTAACAAGTTCTAGTTTTCATGCCCTTCTGAAAGGATTATTTCTTATGGGAAATGCACATTGTTCTTAGCATGAGTTACCTGTCAACTCAAGTTTACTATTTTGTCCAGAGTTTCTTCATGGCATTTTTCACCTCTGCATTCTCAGTGTGTAGATCAAGGGATTCAACATGGGTGTGATGATTGAATCAGATACAGCCATTGTCTTGTCTATGGGGTAAGTAGATACAGGTCTCACATATAGGACAATGCATGGCACAAAGAAAAACAGGACCACTGTGAGATGAGAGCCACAGGTGGAGAGGGCTTTGCGTCATGTGTCAGAGTTATAGGACTTCAGTGAAGATAGAATTATGATGTAGGAGATAATTAGGATAAGGAAGATAGCCACACACATCACCCCACTGTTGAAGATGACTAAGAGACCCAGGGTATAGGTGTCCATGCAGGCCAGGGTCAGTAATTGAAACAAATCACATATAAAGTGATCTATGATATTGGGACCACAGAATGGAATTTGGTACATGAAGAGAAACTGAATTGTTGCATTCATAAATCCTGCTATCCAAGCTCCTACTAATAACAGGCAACACATCCGAGGAGTCATAATGCTTGTGTAGTGAAGGGGCTTACAGATGGCCATATAGCGGTCATAGGCCATCACAATGAGAAGGATGATACCCACACCACCAAAAAAATGCTCTGCAAAGAGTTGGGTCATGCAGCCTTCAAAGGAAATAGTAGTGATGTCTGATAAGGAGTCCACAATCAATTTCAGAGCAATTATGGAAAAGAAGGTGACATCCAAAAGGGATAAGAAGGTGAGGAAAAAATACATAGGGGATCTCAAACCCTGACTTGTGATCATGGTTACCACAATGAGTAGATTTCCCAATACTGTGACGACGTACATGATTAGAAACACAACTGAAAGTATCTTCTGCAGGTCTGGATTCCGTGTAAGACCCAAGAGAATTAATTCAGTCACATTGCTTTGCTTTCCCATTTATCTGGTGATTAAATAAACTCCATGAGAGACTTGAGAAACCTAAAGAGGCAACAATATATTATCCAGTATAATATGTTACCAGAGAAGAGAAAAGATTTGTTGGCATGTTAGGAGATTTAATCGCTACAAGCCAGAGGAAAAACTATAAGGAAAACATGCCTTGCATGACCACGGACTTTGTAACAACACTCAACTGACAAATTTTAGGAATTTTGCAAAGAGCATGACTTCAAATTGAAATGTACATTATATCAGTCTGTGTATACTGAGAGGTCACTGCTGATGTTCTATAACCTGTCCGGTCCTATCCCTCCCATAAGGCACAGAGCAATCACAGGAGAATGTGGAAATGCAAAAAGGACTTAGCCTCATCTCCCTCCTCACACAATAATTGAGGTCTTACTTCAACAGCCTTTGTGAATAAAAGGAGCACAGGTTCATGAAATTAGGGGATGAGAAACGAAGTTTATTTCACATTATCTCACCCACATATTTGTCATATGGACATCTTGCTGCACCTCTCTGCCTCAGTTTCTACATCTGCTACATACGGACAGCTCAGTGGATTTATAGGGGGCAGGGTGACTCTGTTTTGCTCACACAGCAGGACTCATTTATTATTTGCATTCATTGTGTAGGCCTGAGTAAGATTTCCTTAAATGGGCCATTCCTATAATGTTTAACACATTTGAAGAACAATAATTTGGCAGGTCTTAAATGTAGAGAGAGGTATGTGCAAGTACCTACTTATTGATTCAAAAGGAAGTTGAACTTTTAGACTTGACATTACATCCATCATGATTCCTCCTCTCTTACTTACTGGGATTCATTTCTTTGTGCTCCAGTGTTTATTCCACTGTCAGTCCCACTGCCTTATTGCCAAACCCATATGCTTTCTTTCCAGTCTTGACACTCTGTTCTCAGGGAATGTCATTGCACCCATACATAGAAAATTTAGATACTGCCAGGGTACAGTAAACTGCCTTTGTCATCTCACCTTCCCCAACTCTCAATTTCTACCACAGTGCAATTAATAAGCAAGAAATCACAGCTAACATGGTTCTGGAGCTTAGAATGTATTCAAAGAGCTTTTCCTCACTTTTCATTTTAAACTACCATATGGATTAGTATGATTATCTGGATTTTCCAAACCAGGAGCTGAGACTTAGAGAAATTTTACAACTTCCTCAGAGTTATGTGAATAAACTCAAAGCATGGACTCCTAATCATATACATACAGCCACTCACAGTGCTTTCATGATGCTATGAGAGTAAAAAGAAGCAATATTCAAAAAAGAATGAGAAATCTGGATATGCATTCATTTTTCTGCATATGTCATGATGTATATATGTTCTAGACCTTCCTACTGCTTATGTCTATGACCCCTGACAACCAATTCTCCACAATCCTTGCTTTTACCTTCAGTAGTCTGAATATTTATTCTACCTCGTCTTAAAACATTTTTGTATATATCATTATTACATGATTATTTTATGTTTCTTTTTTCACAGAGGAGCACTTAAGGATTGCTCCTCCTTTCACATTCCTCATAGTTCCTTAAAATTAGTCATAGTAGATTCTAATACAATTCAATATATTTATCAATTCTACGAAATTAGAATAAGCTGTGAAGAACAGGTAATGCTGAATCTGGTTCATTTTTCAGGTTTTAAGTAAATCTGTTGTTGGAATCTGGTAGCTATTTCTTTGTCATGCAGGCTCAATGATGATTTACTGTCTATTACTTTAACCAATTGTATTCATAGGCAGCTTAAACCAAAATATGAGAACCCTCAAGTATCTTGAAGATCAAGTTCAGTGTTGAGTGACACCATCAGCTGCCTTTGTGGTATTACCTTTCACAGTGTGCATTAGGTGCCTTTTTAAAAGAGCTGTTCTATTGAAGACAAGTGTAATTATAATCAATACTTTTGTTTTTCCTTGCCAGTCTACTTTCCTCAATTTCCTTCAGTATTTGAAAACACAGCTAGTGTTGGAGCCAGCAGTGAGAACTTGTCTGTGTGAGTTGGCATCTGGCCTTGTGAGAAAGCTCCAAGGAACTGAGGCAAAGGACTTGGAAACAAACTGTGCCTGTGTGAGTTGGTATCTGGCCTTGTGAGAAAGCCAGAGGTCCAGAAAAACAGTATTCAAGGTTCCCAGATGGCTTCGTGTCCTTCAGATGTAAATAAGAAAGTTATGCTGACTCTGTGCTTCTGCTGCTTCTCTGTTCCCATTTTGAAGGAGACATAACAAAGAGTTAATTTTAACTGTTATTCCCTGTACTAATGTAACCTTGACATGTAATACTTGGCATGCTTTTTCTGACCAAATGCTCTCTGTGTAAAAGGAGTTTATAAAAAGCAAAGGATGCTTCATTAAAGTGGCTATTGAGCAGGACACAGTAGTCCCCTCTTCTTTTATGGATTTAGTCACCCAGGTTCTGCTGGTAAATGGCTTACAGCTAGTATTTCAAAAACTTTTAAAATGAGGCCCATTTTCTTAGGTAAGAGATTGAAATCATGAATTTACTATAATTTCAACAAAAGAGCTATAAACCAAAGGAATGGAAGAAAAAAAAACTTGACTGTGGCTAAGAAAAAGAAAGACTAGGAATATTCCCAGCAGAGGAAAGAGCAGGAACAGAGTCCCAGAGTTGGGGTCAAGGGACATTGTACACCACAGACGGAAAGTAAGGGCTTTCAGTAATAAACACCAGGTTCTAATGTTGACTTCTACAATAACTTTTAGCTGATTAACTTCCTAACAGTAATTTATTATTTCAAATTTGCATGTAGGTAGAAATATTGAATTTGCAATTTAATGATATAATTACATTGTAATAGGTTAGAACACTTATGTAAATATTTTCTGTACCTTATAGTTTAATTCTATAGTTTATGGTTCTTTATGAATGGTAGCATTCTCTGCCAGTAGATGAAGATTTATGTTATTTTAGTTTTTTGAAATTCCAACAATTCTACAGTGCAATTTGCATGTTCACATATAAATATATGTGTATAAGTATATATTAGTTAAATCAAGTTTTAATTTTTATAATGGAATTATACAATCAAGAAATCTTCATACATTTTACCTGTGAATAGCTATTGGTAAATTCTCCTGCCAAAATATTTATCCCCTTGATAATTTAGGAGAAAGCTTTCTTCTTTCCATATTTAATTTGCTTTCTTCTTTATATTTCTTATTTTTATACTTTTAATTTTATCTTTATTCTCTTATAGGTATTCACTGTATACATCTTATAAAAAATTTGGAAAAAAATTCATCAACTCTTTAAACTAGTAGATAAAATGTTGTGACAATATAGTTGCTCTAAGCAGATTTATCAATCTATTCTCTCTAAACAAACTTATGAAAAATAATTACCATTTAACTCTTGTAGTAAGATGTTTGTTACATCTTGAAGGTAGCAGAGTAACTGTGAGATATAGCTTGAATTTGAATTCCAGGAAACCTGAGTATATGGCTGATGTGTGTTTTTCAATTGTATTTGAATGTGTATGGATGCATGTGCAATTATTCTCAGCCAGTGAAAATTTGAGAACCTAGACTGCCACTGAAATTCTCGGATCATTTGATTAGATAACTAAATTTACAAATAAATCTCTTCAAACTTTCTCTTCATACAAATATCCTACCAGTTTCTTTCTCTTTTCATACAACTAAGAGCTTGTTAATGGAAGTATAGCTCACTGCAGAATTTTGCAGGGTGAAAGTGACAATGATATGTAATTAAAAAGAAATGTAAATATAACTTAGTAGTATCTGCCCCTGATGATGCTATATTATCATTATTATTAACATGAGAAAACCTCTAACCTCATCCTCAAGGCCATCACCAGTGTCACCACTACTGTCACAGTCATTACAGCCATATTGTAGGTACAGTGACTTACAACTAAATTCAGTGGTTATGTTTTCTAGGGGCTTGGTACCAGTATGGAGGAAGATATAACAAAGGGGTATAGGAGGATGAATGTAGTGGAAAGATTATGTACTCATGTATGAAAATGGAAAAATGAGAACCATTGAAATTATTTCAGGAATGGGGGGATAAAAGAGAATGATGGGTTTGAAATCAACTGTGATATATTCTATGAACTTTTGTAAATGTCAAAATTGTTTACCTGATACAACTATAATATGCTAATAAAAAAAGAATGAGGGGAAAGGCATAAAGAAGAATGATGAAAGAGTGAATTTAAGATATACTGTAAGCACTTTTGTCAATGTCACAATGTACTCTCTAGTACAACAATAATATGATAGTAAAATATTTTTAAAATGAAGCAAAATAAAAAAGAGGAAAGATGAATGTAAAAGGAAGAGAAAGTTTCAAGGAGCAGAGTGCTGGCCAAGTAAGTGCAGGACTTTGAGTTCAAAGACAAGTACTGCAAACAAAAAGGAAAAAAGAATTCATCCCTCAATTAAAACCATTAATATAAAATAGTATTTACTAAATGTTACTATGATATTCTAATCAAATCCAAGATTCATTAACATGTAGTAAAATTTTTCAGAGAGTCCATGAAATTAATTCTATGTATGGAGGCTAAATGCTGGGAATAGAAACTGCCAGGTTAAGTCATTAGATCATTCAATGTGGAAAATTTGTATAACTGGGATGTTTATTGTTTTCAAATAAATGTGTGAAGTATAAGCCTTAAAACACTATGAGTCTAGTAAAGAAATAACCCTTAGATCACTAGGGGATTTAAATTCAATCCACTTATGAATAGTGGTGAAATTAGTTAAGAAGAGCCTTACCGATTCATTTCACGTTCTTTTTCAAATGTTACTTGATTGTATCTTTAGATGAAAACAGAAAAAGAATTTTCAGCTTCTTAGGAGATCATCATTTTCTTCTCTGGGTTCTGGATGTGGGCTAGATGAGCATGAGTGCCCATATGAGCAGCTGTGACCCAGGGCAGACTTTTGTCACTCTAGGTGCATCCCTTATGTCTAGTTCCACACA